ATATATATATATATATATATATATATATATATATATACGATATTCTCCTATTAATAATCAAAGAGAGTTTTACCTCTTCAAACAAAGTCTCATCAAAGTAAGGTTTTTATCTAGAAAAAAATATCAAAGAAAGATTTTACTTTTAATAAAATTTTCTCCATTTACATAGTTAGAAATCATAGCACTAAAAATATACTTAAAAAAACTCAATCATTCACTATAAAACCTCTTAAGTGTATAATGTGTAACCTTAACTAAATCATGTCTATTTAACGAGTATAATTATCAAATTTTCTATTCTAGCATAAATATTGGGTGTAAATGTAGGAGCACCGAACACACATAAAGAAGGGATAAAATGACAGCAAGTGTTAAATTTGTTAAAATAACACATTTCATAATTTTTTACAACAATTAAAATGTTCTTATGATATAAACGTAGCCTACAAAATTTCATGCTTAATAAAACTAATTTAGTCACATTATGTTCACATATAATAACCCTCCATTCGAACAATATTTTATCTAACAGAATAGAAACATGTCATTATACTGTTTAAAACACAATTTTTACCATGTACATTACATATTTAAATTCGTCTAAATTACCCAAAATTTAAAATGTTATTATTAAATGTTATTATTAAATGTGTAACTTTACAAAATTTAACCCCTTGTTTAGTAGCATGGATTTGAGTTTACCAGAAAAAACAAGCACAATCCGAGACTTTTTAAGATTTCCCAACAAAAGAATTACTATATGAAACCACGATACAGTATAAACAGCAAATCATTCCTTCATGACTCAAACATCCAAGATCAGTTACATTACTTTGTTCATGATCACATCTTTGAAAATACAGTTATAATGTTTGTTACAAAATGACATGTCGGTTGAATCTTTACATGAACCACGTAGACCCTAAATGTCAGTATGGTACCTGAAACAAAACTCAAATGTTGGATCAGTGTGTGATCACAACACCCAGGTGACTGACATCTAGCTGTGAAAAACTGACCTATCACAGATCTTGACCAAATAATGAGTAATTAATCAGAGCAAGGTAAAAGAATAAGAAAAAACAAAAAAAAAAAAAAAAAGAGGCCTCTGCATCCTATACTGTATGAAATCCCCAGGAATCCCTACCAATTTTTTTCTTTGTAGTCCACAAAAGACAACATCCTAAAAAGGAAGAGTATTTTATCAAATGTAAAATCCACCCATCATACTATCTCTATCACTTCATTAACATCCAATCCCTTTTGCTGTGGTTGGGGTATAAAAAATGCTATGAGAAGAGGATTTCTTCTAAGGCATGAAAGAAAGTCATCCTTGTCAATTCTTCCATCGTTATTGTCATCAAACAACATGAAAAGATTATGGGCCTACAAGAAACCAGATTAAGTCCGTCAGACTACAACAAGAGTGTTAAGAATTTTAAAGACAGAAAAATGGAGAGAAGTTTTTGCAAAATATAAATTACCTCATCCTCATTCCAGCTGGGGCTAGAAGGTTGAATGAAATCTCGAAACTGATTTTAAAGGGAATTGAAAAGAACACGTTAGGGATAATCCAACAAGTAAAGACAAATAAGAGAACGAAAGATTATAATACCTCTTGTTCAACAATAAAGGCCTTTACTGCACCACCACACCCAGCAAAGGCTTCTTCACAGGCTTGATGGAACCCTGGTTGAGTCATGACATGGGCAGATCCATACAAGAACTGGAAGCAACATACAATTACAAACAAGTGCACAAGACATAAGTGCAGTAATAAACAAGCACATTTTGAACCTTTTGTTGCAGTTATTAGTTTTTGCACAAAAAAAAAACAGCACAGATATCATAGTAACACTTGCTACTTCTAATCTTCTAGATAGCAGAAAAACGGGGTACATAATTGTCAATAGTCACCTGTCTGAATGTAATTGTCCCACTTTTCTCCACATCAATGAACGCAAATATCTGGAACAAAATATAAACAAAACAATCAAAAAACTAAAAAGGCAGGAAAAAAAACTCAAGTCACATGGGAGTTCAGGCTTTGGTAACAGAAAGACAGATGTAGCAAAGATGAAGTTAGAATAAATTTTGCTAATCTGAAAAAATGGAGCAGAAAAGGGAAGAAAAACCGAATTCAAAAAAAATTGTTTCAAGATTACATGTGAATAAATAATATTGTAGCACTCAGATAATATATTATCATAAACTATGTCATGCACATGGAATTAGAGAATTTAACAAAAATACAAGGATTGGAACATCAACTCTTGAGGTATTTTTATCCCCACATTATTTAAGAAATCTCCAATTATTCAGTAACTAACCTTTGCAGATTGCGGGCAAGCCTTAAGTCTTAAAACCCTCAAGAAGTCATGATATTGAACACGACCACTGTAAGCAAGATACAAAATCCATCAATTCCCACAAGATAATAAGTACAACCACAAATTGTAGCAGTTATCAGTGGAGATAACAAGCAAACTTTCATACAAGTGGTGAAGTCCACCAAAATGCAACCACATGTCAATAAAAGAAAGCAAAAAACAAAAAGACTTCCACAAAACATGGATTCAAAACCATTATCATACTACAATGCTTTGGCCCCAATATGCGAGGATTTATTGATTTTTCAATGAAAGAATTGCCAGCAATCCTCTTGAACAGAAGGGGGATTGATTAGCTCGCAATAGGCTGTTTCTATAAATCTGAGTACATTATGGTCAAGGATTCCTCCAGTTAGTAGGACATTTGTTAATCATCTTACACTCTTAGGCAAGTATGATGCCCTTGGTTGACAGAAATTGGTAAACTTAAACATTTAAGAGTAAGGACATTACATGCACAAACATCTAAGACTCCCAAGCTCGAAAGAGCATCACATACCCATAAGGCATTTGAGGTAAAAAAGAGGAATTTGAGATGCATGCGGTAATCTCATCAGTCAGACTGATGTACCATATATAGGAGACATGTTAACTAAATGGTAGCTTCAAATTTTAAAGCTGATATCCTCAGTCATGTTGTCCATGCTCCAAGTCCAAGGAGACAAGAATATCTATAGAAAATAAATAAATGTAAAAACTGGTGCAGCTGGAAAACTTAATGAAAGTAATTGGGTTAACATTTATTTCAAGCCTTACAGCCGTCTTCCAGTGAGGAATTACTTTTAAGAGAGATCTTGCAAGAAATTATGTGAAGTTAGCAACCATAAATATTCCAACGATCATTTCCCACAAACAAAAGTTTCATCCAGTCTAACAGCAACTAAAGTAAAACCTCAACATTGATTGTCATCAATATAAATATAAACATGAATTAACTAATGTTGTTTCCCACTGTACCTGAGCAAGACAGATTTTTCTAGTTACGATGTACAAGAATGTAATAATAGTACCTTGGATCAGGATGCATGGCCAAGAATTTAGCCAAAAAGTCCACAGCTTCCGTGCTGCTGATATGAAATAACTGAAAAGAAGCAAAAAATCTCTTTTATCCTTTGGCAGATTATAATACACATAGGCAGATCAGTCAAAGAGACAAGATGTGTCATACTACCACCATCATTAATATACCACAATACAAAATATTGGCTCCCTTTAGCTACATATTTCCCTTCTATTAGTAGGTTCAAACATTATGCAGCCACTCTGGGCCACTTATAACATACACAGAGTTAATGTGGCATTTGCATATACTAGAGTAGAAACAAATTGAAAGGTTTAACCTAAAAATCCTACTTAAAAACAAGCTGAAGAAATAGATAATTTACCAGGGGCTTGACGATGGCAGGAAAAAAAAAAAAAAAAAAAA